GGAACGTCTTCATAATTCATCTCTTCCTCTGTGTAGTTATTTCAACACTTTTTTCAAAAAGTTGCGTTGGCCTAGTTCTAGTTCTTACAGCAGGCTGAATCTATTAGACTTTTGTATTTATCCTACTTTTTGCTACAAATATTCTTGCATATATTAACAAGAATAAATATAAAAAAGAAATCTTCAGTTCCCATTACGTATATTAATAGAAATCAGCGGGGTTACCATCAAACAAATGCAAGCGATGTTAAAATTTCCGTGATGTCAAAAAAGAACGATTTTACACAATTACTTCTCTGACGACAATGGCACCGACCAGTGGGACTATGTCGCTTCCAAACCCGGATCATTCTAAGCCCTAACTATGAAGATGGATGAAATAAAATCTTGATACTTCCGTTACACGGGAGGTTGCTAAAATCGGGCGTAAGTGGTATCGTGGCAAATGGAGTACTATATCGCACGCACGTTCGCGAGTTCGAGTCCCAGAACGGAATCCACCTANTTGGGATTAATAAACGCCAAAAAACTTCAGAGGTTTATTGCTAAACTAGTAAGCCAAAGCAAAGACTTTCTCCTAGGACAATGGCACCCATTGGTGGGTGCCAGCCGCGCACGAGAGAAAGGGGACATGATCTCATGGACGCACCACGTCGAAATGCGTATTGTCGTCAAAGGGTTAAGAAGCGTGTTGGAAGAGCTTACCCAAGGCGACGGCAGCCAGTGACAGCAACAAAACAGCCTGCATCACTACGGAAATCACCTGAAAAAAAAGCGTAGTTGTCAGGCGTCACCAATACGAAACACAGTCACGGGTATTTCTTATAAGGGAATGTTTCAAAAACACTCATCAAGTTCTACACCGACCATTCAACTTTGTCGTTAATTTAGTTGTCGCCTTTCCTTTTGGAGAAGTATTTAAAATGATAAGGGATGAAGGTGGTTTAGCGACAAGTGACCCACTTCACACGCATGGTCACGGGTTCGAATCCCGGGTTGATATCCGCCTAGGCGAACCGGGCCTTCTATCCCTCCGGGGTCGTTAATTGGTAGCAGACTCGTCTGAGAAGATGAAAGCACTGACATGTACATCGTCTGGCCACTGCAACTCATTGTATGGGCCACATAGGCATTCAATGCGCCAAAACGATTCTGAATGGTAGTCGAATGTCCCTCAGACGGGATTGATTAACACCCCAAGACTTTATCCTTTATTCGAAATGAAAGACGTTAACTCTGGCATTGATTCTGGTGAAACGGAGGAGTAGCCGACTTCGCAAGTACCATAACAATGCTTAAGAGCGTTTATAGCAAGAAAAAGTTGACTAGTTTTTTTTTTGAAAATAGGCCTTGGACGGAAGAGGAGCAGTTGGAGTGAGTAAACCGATTGAATGTTGATTCTTACCCCATTTTAGCTTTTACACGAGGTAATCATCTTACCTACTGGCGCTCCTCCCCTGCTAAGGCTGACTACCAGTCGGAACACCCGGCTGACGCCTGGCGCTCTTTCTTTTCGGGCAAAAATAGCCTATCGCCTACGTCTCCTTCAAATTTGGACGCTACTGTGCAGTGAAACGCGAGGTGAAAATTTTGAGCCATACCCACGCACACACACTCGACACAATTAGCGTGCGCCTTCCCCGTCATGAACGGAGTTCTGCTCAACTCATATGTGTTTGTGTAACTTGGTTCACACCAATCCTTTTTCACTTAACCGCGCACATTCACTGAGATTACGCTGATGTTACGCACACTCCGCTTCCACGACGAAGCCTGGTCATACCACCTACCGTATGATTCCCATTCTGTCACCTGTACCCCTAACAAATTTGAACGCTCAAGGTCCACTTGGACAAGAACTATGTATTTCTTATAGGAGAAGCGCACGGGGGTCGGTACATTCGTGCGATTCGAGCTGCGCGCGGCAAATTGCGCGGCGAAATTCGTGACGATTTGAACGGCTCTGGCGCCTAATGTTGGGGAACAAACTTGATGTAGAGTAGATTTGAAGGGTTAGCTGTTACTACCTTTCTACTCTACTTTAAATTTGGGCCTCAATAATAGGCGCTAAAGTCGTCAGAATCGCTATGAATTTCGCCGCACGCAGCTCGAA